TAGGGTGGGGGTATTGGTGGGTGGAGGGGGGAAGGGGTCAGTCCCGCGGCTGGCACAACTCACCAGGAAGTACATATACATAGTCGCCCCTAGATAGCCACTCTCAAACCTCTTAAACAACGCGAAAAGTCCGGGTTTTACAACACAGAAACGACAATTGACTTCGCGTGCCTCTCAAGTGAGCGATGACACAGACACTATACTGGTGATGGCGAGCGATGCATCCAGCTGATGCAGGATGTGGTTAGCCGAGTGGGCTAAGTTCTTCCATCTAGCTGCAGCACCGTTTCCAGCATTGCACAATGTCCAAAAGTCAAGCTTGCGATCCGATGCCACAGTGTAGGTATTGATAATGCTGACGTTTCCGACAACCAGCCTCTTGTTGTATTTGCTTTACACTATCCGACTGTCCGATGTAAACAGACATAAAAGTAGGAAAACATAATGGAGATGTACTGAGTTCATTTTTACTTCAAAATAATGAACTAAGGAGCGTGGAGTGTTCTCAGACAGCATCGTGTTTCCGCTGTTCTATCATGCAATGGTTCACGGCAACATACACAGCGATGTTTAAATGGTCTATTTTATTAACCAGAAAACAAGAAAACAAATTCTTTAACTGATTTATCATTATGAGCTGCTTCCATACATGAATGCCCTTACCTTGCATCATAGTTACTTGTCCTTACCTGCGGTGTATCATTGTCTTACAACGCCACCTAGTGTACAGAATGACATTTGATAAGAAGGACAGATTAAAGGAATTATATAGAGATGTTCAAGACTTCCGCCAGGCTGGTTGTTGCCTACACAGTGTTGTGTACCAGGTAAAATTGGTTTAGCACATCCATTCCAGCGCTGTGCTTGTCACATTGCGACTCGTTATTTCGGGGTTGTCTAACAATATATACTGAGGGAAACAAATAAAGGAACACATAAAATTACACGAGGTGCTTAATTATTTTTTCATATTTTTCTTTGCAAGCTTTTTTATTTCACTGTGGGTGAAAATCTGAAAATAAATACAGGAACAATGTGATGAAATGGTGTTCCCTTATTTGTTTATCTCAGTATACAAATGCTACTGAAGCGACAGTATTTGGGTACTTTTTTTAACTTGCATGTTCTGACAATTGCGCTGTCCTGTGTTAATTCGTCGGTCGGGATACTACGTGCAAGCCAGTGTCTGTTCTCCATGTGGGTATGGCTTGTCCTTCTGTTTTGGTGAAGGGATTATTGTGGAGTTTTTTTACTTGAAATCCCGCTTTTCAGAAAAGGATTGCAATTTTTTGTGCACATGAATTAAAACCTGAAGACGCTTGGTGTTGATGTTATAATGAAGTAACGAGTGTCAATGTTTAGTAATAAAGACGAAGGTAAGTGTTGAAAATAACGAGAGTAGGTGTTATTATTATTGTAACGAGGGTATAAGTGTTATAGTGACGAGGGTAGGTGTCACATTGATGGGAGTCAGTTTTGATGACATAGTCATGCGACAAGGTCACCAATGTTGGAGTCACTGTTGTTTACTAAGTAAAAGCATCCTACTTTTACATTTTGTGGAGGCAGGTTTGAATGACAGCTACTTAAGTTGGTATTGCTATAAATACGAGCAGCATGCCATCGCCAGTGGAATGAAGGTATTGATAATTCACTTAAAGTGTGTGCCATTAAAACATTAAACCGCATTAACAACCTCTGAATTACTTTCTACGATATACAAAAATGACATGTACCGGGTTATCCTGCAATTATTTGCAAAGACATCCTACCATCACTATAGTGAAAAAAGTTGTTTAACAAACTATCATTAAAATATTGACACAGTTCACTATTTCTTACGAGGGAGGAGTGCAGAGAAAGGGACAGCCAGGTGTTCGAGAAGCACGTGCACAAGTGCCGACAAAGTTATTGATTCATTAACCAGTGCTGTGCCGTCTCCATCCTTTCTCGCACACCTGGCTGTCCCTTTCTCTGCACTCCTCCCTCGTAACAAATAGTGAACTGTGTCAATATTTTAATGATAGTTTGTTAAACAACTTTTTTATTTTTAGGACATAAATTCTGCAAAAAACTCACAGAGTTGGTCTGACGTTTTGATTATGATCAGTGCTTCATTGAGTATTATATGTTTATTAGTCTTCGAGTTAGATTGCAATTCATCGGTCCGCTTTTGAGCCAAACGGACTATAGTAGCTGACCATTTCTGGTGTCCCCCGCCGTGATGCTGCTGGAATATTGCTAAAAGCGGCGTAAAACGAAACTCACTCACTCACTAGTACTTAACGCCACCACCAAGAACCTGGCGTATATATAACCCGCGCCACGTCTACCTGGGTATACACGGCAAAGTGTGGAACTCGCTGTCTTGCTGCTCCTTCAAAACACAAAACTATCTTCCCCTTAAAATGATACAGACTTTCCACATATACATCCGTTCGGTTGTCACAAGCTACACAATGTTATTGTTTTAAGGAATACAATTTGTACACATTAATTGTTTCGACATTTTAGAAGTTTAGATTCACAGCGTTGTAAGTATCTGCACTAAAATATATCTCTATGCAACAAGTAGGTTGTTATCCATAAACTTGTATTCTATTGTACAAACTCCATTGAAAAGAAATACTGACAGAAAAATACAGGGACTCTGAATATATTAAGGGGGCACGTAAGGACAAAATTACCTCCTCAGTCTTCACTGCAAAAAAAAATCGTATATCCTTTATCCCTGGTAAGTATGTTATAGTCATTGTAGTGGGTATTGAAAATATGTCATTTTATTTGCACTATAATTTGTATTTTAATTGTGCAATTAATCATCTCAACAAAACAAACCTTCCCGTACAGCATGCGAAATGTACCTGGCGAGGCAAACAATATTGTACAAACTTTATGGATAACAACTTCTTTTATTTCGTGAGTGCTTGCGACGTTTCGATACAGATTCTTTTACCGTTGTCAAGCAGGACTTGTTATTTATCGTGTGAATGCATGGGATTGAGCGCTCTCTCCACTGTACAGTTTCAAACATGTATACGTATGTTGAATATGTATAGCCTATATTATATATGCATATATGAACATATGGACATAAAAACATAGTTACATACGTCTTCCTTAAAAACTGTCTGTGCGTGCGCGCGTATGTGTGAGAGACATACAGTCAGTCCGTGTTAGCACAAGAAGTCGTTTACAACCATGTGTTAATTAATCCGTTCCCTGATAATATTTATTACATGATAGCTGCTCATATCGTCGACAACATTATTTCTAGATCTATGTCTCTTTCGCGCTTATCTTGACAATCACAACTTGTTTACCCCTAAAATCGTGTATATTTTCCTGTGGGAAAAGTTAGTGTGATATACTTTTCATTACGAGTATCACAACGTGGGGTGTAGTTACAGGACTTCAAACTCTAGTCAATTTATTTTCCCTTGATACAGGCAAACTAGGATTAATAACGAAATACGCATAAAGCAAATTATGTTATATTTTCCTATGAGAATAAGCCGTCGCTGCGTGTTTCATGCCCCGAAACCTTGTGTGTCAGCTTGGGGAGTTTTGAAACGGGAGAGGGGCAGAAAAATATCACCCCTCCCCTTTCCTCACACCGACCCCCTCAGGCGACGAATTACCCCCTCGGAAACCAGGCCCCAACATGAAACACTTGCGAGGCTTTGAAATCAGTGTACATCGCGGGGCACACCGACAATGTGTTGGGGAACGGTGGCCGCGCTTTGGTAGTCATGCTTCCACCTCTCCCGTAGACCTCGGCAGGAACGTTCTGGTCGAACCAGCTCCTTGTGTCGGTATTACCCGCACCAAGGGAGCAGTAATCAGTCGCAATCGGAGATGACTACAGAATTAGCGGGTTCCCTCTGTGAAATATGCACATTAGCTGCTTAGCTTCTAAGTAGGGGACAACAAAATATTTGACGTGAGCGAGAATTTTCCCGTCAAGTGGGAAGCAACGTCCAATGGTGTCTTTAAACATCGCATCAATACAGGCACAACAGATGTAGGAAGTCACGCTTGTTTGATGTTATAGTGTAATTATCTAGTTCTCAAGAACCTGGTAATGAAGCTACTTTCCACGCCTTTGATGCCAAACTTTCAAACTTGGGGATGAGCCGCTTGTCTCCGTGTTTTAACTTTTTGCGCCACCGATAAAAATTCAATTAATGCTCCTTATTTTAATTAAGACATTTTGGCCCCTTCCGCCCACCTAAATGACTTTAAATGACATAGGTAATGAATTTTCCCATCACGCTTTTAATATAGAAGACGGGAAGGATCCAGGCCGATCCTCGCGACCAACTTTTATAATAGACGAAAATACGTATTTAACGGTGACGCAGATTTAGCCGGAAATCGTTAAGAAAATGAGCACCAAGAAATACGGGTGTACATATCTGCCTTAATAGCTTCATTAGAGGCATACCTGTATATTCACCTGACAGAAAAATATTAACACCTGACAGCAAAAAGGTTTTCGAAGAAGTGAACCTTTAGATAACGAAGTCTTTCATAATGTGATGATGATTCTTTGGTGCATTGAGTGGCGCAACAAAAATTCATTTTCATTTGTTTTAAATGTGTAAATCACGTGACATGACATTTAAAAAGCACTGATATGTCAACGCGAGAGAATATGAGCCTCGATTTCCCAGTGGCGTAAATAGCGGTATATATTCCCGGAATGGATCACTGAAAATCAGTGATGACGTCATGAGTTCAGGGGAAGGGTACGAATATTCTACCCAATTCCGTAAAAATTACTTCACTTTAAATGATAAAATCGAGATGTTTACGAATTCGTTCCGACATGTAATGTGATTATATCGCGTAATATATAATACGATTAGGTTCCTCTTCCAATTTGTACTTCGTACTTGGAAGAGCAATACTTGAAACACAAGTGTTTACGTACTTCATCCTGGAAGTATGTAAGTCCTTCCTAATACTGATACAAAATCACGAAGACTATCACAAGAAACAATTTCAATTTTATCCTACGTCTATCTTCACCGGTTTTCCAACCATGCGGCAAGTCGCCTGCGTTTTACCTCTTCAAAAATTAATATCTAAAAGTGGTGTACTTAATACATCTCATAAAACAGTTAGAAACCGCTTCATGTGAAGATTATTTCAAGTCAGTGTTTAATGACGGTATTAAATCACTCTTATCACAACATTCGTAAATAAAGCCCTTCTTTCCCCCTCACTGCCGCCCGCGAAAAGGCTTATGTTATCATGCAATGGGAATTTGTCCGTGCGTTATTTCACCAAGTTTTTAAGCGCCACCACTTCATGTTGAGGGGCGCTCACTATATGACACTCTCGGAGCTGTGGCAATCTTCAAGAATATTTACTGTTTCATTCACAGAATCCTTGTGTTATCCCGCTGATTGTTAACGCTTTCACTGTGGAGACACTTGCGCGTGCAGCGTGCTCTGTCTACATATGGATGAATCTAACCCCCAGTTTACGCAATGATGATGTCCTCAAAAACATAACGGTAACGTCCGTCAGGGCGTGAGGTTGCTGCAATGTCCGGGGCTGCCTCTTCATGTGACCGTCACTGCCGAGGGAGGAGGAGGGTACTGATGTAGGGACTATAATGGTGACACATCCCTATGGAGACGTGGAGACCAAGTAAGTCATACGATGTTCGATGATTAATCGAAAGATATTTGTGTTGCCTAATAATGTCTGCATAGCGGATTCTGTCATCTGTTCTGGAAGACATGCGATCGAGCACCGGGTGTTCTACGGTGTTACACGAACAGCGATGCCGCAGAAGCCTGCCCATACCCAATCTCCTTGTGGCCACACTATTCACATTTAAGCATTTTCGCGGGAAAAGGTGTACCAGGGGTTTGTCCCGTCTTTCAATCTTTACTTAAATAAACATTAACAAGCAGGAAGTTTCCTCAACATCACAACCGACATTCGATCAAAAGTACAACGTGCTAAAATGATTTGTTCACACATATTTTGAGTTTAGGGAAAGACCGCTGTCAGATATAAGTAAAGAAATGACAGCTGTTGAGGTATCCGTAAACCAACTCTTGTCACCGTCCTTTGTTGTCATTGTAGTAATAGTATTTGTCCAAATATTCACCCCCTGTCGCGAGTGAGTATATCATGCCGCACACTCACTCTGGGAGACCTGACTTGAAACTGAAGTGGTTAATATTACGGATTTATTCCTATTTCTAATTAAAGCTTAATTTAATTAGCTTCCTCTTGTGGCCATCTCCAAGACTGATAAAAGGTCCTTGAGGTATCTTCCTTGTATTTCCCTTCACTGACGGGAATCTGAAATCATTAGAAAGATATCAATTTAAATGGAAATGTAATTCTATTTTTGGCATAACATATACAATTTATTTATACTTCCAGCTGAATAACACAAGGACGTTCAAATTATCGAACTTTATGTAACTGTTATCTAACTAATTTACGAAATTACTCTTGATCAATTGAATCAGTGCTTGATAATTTCGTTTTACAAAGTGTATGTATTCGACAAAGTATTTGACCAGTAAAACTTGAAAGATGATCGGCACTCCATATGTCCATGTCAAAGTGCAGAGGCCAGCAGTCGTCTCCTGTTGTAGTCCATGGTGGAAGCGTGGAAACAGATTTGATTAATCAATTACCTTTTATCTGCGACGGAAAATCTAACCTAACCTTGCCGGCGGAACAATGCAAATGATAAGAATATAGGTTGCCCTAACAAATATTCGGAAAAATGACTGCAGACTTATTTTCGTGACCAAGTCATTGGCAAAAATCTTTTCAATTTCCTACATCGTTTAGTTTATGCTCCGAAGAAGAATAGAAAAACCAGAAATCAAATCAAAAGTATCAAAATTCTCCTCAATTACGAGCGAAGTGGCAACTCCAAACTGACGAGATTGGGTCCAAACACGCCTGAGTAGTTGTATAGAACGCCCTCTGGCTGCTTCCCCCGTCTAAACAACATGGCGACACGAACCTGCCTCCTGATCAGTCTGTCGCGGAGGAGAATAAATACCCAGCGGCCTGTCTTATATAGACCATCTAAGGCTGGTGAAAAGCTGGACCATCGGGTCTGTCTGAAATATGGACCATCTGAGAGACAAGGAAGGTGGTATCAAGAGTGTGGCTTGTACACATCACCATGAGAAGTAAGGTGGTGCCATAGGTTTTTCTTGTACGGTGCACTTGAGGAGGTAAGATGGTACCATTTGTCTTGTAAAGATCATCAGATGAAGTAAATGGTACCGTCTGTCATTCTTGTACAGAACATTCTAGGAAGTAAGATGGTACCTGGTGGTAATCTGGGTCTGTGTCTCGCGGATCATCAAAAGTAAGATGGTACCAAGGGTCTGTTTTGTATAGTTCAATAAGGTGGTAATCTGGGTCTGGATCTCGCGGATCATCAAAAGTAAGATGGTACCAAGGGTCTGTTTTGTATAGTTCAATAAGGTGGTAATCTATATCTGTGTCTCGTGGATCATCAGAAGTAAGATGGTACCAAGTGTCTGTTTTGTATAGTTCAATAAGGTGGTAATCTGGGTCTGTGTCTCACGGATCATCTGAAGTAAGATGGTACCAAGGGTCTGTTTTGTATAGTTCAATAAGGTGGTAATCTGGGTCTGTGTCTCACGGATCATCAGAAGTAAGATGGTACCAAGGGTCTGTTTTGTATAGTTCAATAAGGTGGTAATCTGGGTCTGTGTCTCACGGATCATCAGAAGTAAGATGGTACCAAGTGTCTGTTTTGTATAGTTCAATAAGGTGGTAATCTGTATCTGTGTCTCGCGGATCATCAAAAGTAAGATGGTACCAAGGGTCTGTTTTGTATAGTTCAATAAGGTGGTAATCTGGGTCTGGGTCTCGCGGATCATCAGAAGTAAGATGGTACCAAGGGTCTGTTTTGTATAGTTCAAAAAGGTGGTAATCTATATCTGTGTCTCGCGAATCATCAGAAGTAAGATGGTACCAAGTGTCTGTTTTGTATAGTTCAATAAGGTGGTAATCTGGGTCTGTGTCTCACGGATCATCAGAAGTAAGATGGTACCAAGGGTCTGTTTTGTATAGTTCAATAAGGTGGTAATCTTGGTCTGGGTCTCGCGGATCATCAAAAGTAAGATGGTACCAAGGGTCTGTTTTGTATAGTTCAATAAGGTGGTAATCTATATCTGTGTCTCGCGGATCATCAGAAGTAAGATGGTACCAAGTGTCTGTTTTGTATAGTTCAATAAGGTGGTAATCTGGGTCTGTGTCTCACGGATCATCAGAAGTAAGATGGTACCAAGGGTCTGTTTTGTATAGTTCAATAAGGTGGTAATCTGGGTCTGTGTCTCACGGATCATCAGAAGTAAGATGGTACCAAGGGTCTGTTTTGTATAGTTCAATAAGGTGGTAATCTGGGTCTGTGTCTCACGGATCATCAGAAGTAAGATGGTACCAAGTGTCTGTTTTGTATAGTTCAATAAGGTGGTAATCTGTATCTGTGTCTCGCGGATCATCAAAAGTAAGATGGTACCAAGGGTCTGTTTTGTATAGTTCAATAAGGTGGTAATCTGGGTCTGTGTCTCACGGATCATCAGAAGTAAGATGGTACCAAGGGTCTGTTTTGTATAGTTCAAAAAGGTGGTAATCTATATCTGTGTCTCGCGAATCATCAGAAGTAAGATGGTACCAAGTGTCTGTTTTGTATAGTTCAATAAGGTGGTAATCTGGGTCTGTGTCTCACGGATCATCAGAAGTAAGATGGTACCAAGGGTCTGTTTTGTATAGTTCAATAAGGTGGTAATCTGGGTCTGTGTCTCGCGGATCATCAGAAGTAAGATGGTACCAAGAATACGTTGAATATGTCTTGTATCATCCGTGCAGGAAAGGTGATACGTTGAATATGTCTTGTAAATAATATCATCAGTGCAGGAAAGGTGGTACGTTGATTATGTCTCGTAAATAATATCATCAGTGCAGGAAAGGTGGTACGTTGAATATGTCTCGTAAATAATATCATCAGTTCAGGAAAGGTGGTACGTTGAATATGTCTTGTATATATCATCAGTGCAGGAAAGGTGGTACGTTGAATATGTCTCGTAAATAATATCATCAGTTCAGGAAAGGTGGTACGTTGAATATGTCTTGTATATATCATCAGTGCAGGAAAGGTGGTACGTTGAATATGTCTCGTATATATCATCAGTTCAGGAAAGGTGGTACGTTGAATATGTCTTGTAAATAATATCATCAGTTCTTGAAAGGTGGTACGTTGAATATGTCTTGTATATATCATCAGTTCAGGAAAGGTGGTACGTTGAATATGTCTTGTATATATCATCAGTTCAGGAAAGGTGGTACGTTGAATATGTGAATATGTCTCGTATATATCATCGGTGCAGGAAAGGTGGTACGTTGAATATGTCTTGTATATATCATCAGTGCAGGAAAGGTGGTACGTTGAATTTGTCTTGTATATATCATCAGTGCAGGAAAGGTGGTACGTTGAATATGTCTTGTATATATCATCAGTTCAGGAAAGGTGGTACGTTGAATATGTCTTGTATATATCATCAGTGCAGGAAAGGTGGTACGTTGAATATGTCTTGTATATATCATCAGTTCAGGAAAGGTGGTACGTTGAATATGTCTTGTAAATAATATCATCAGTTCTTGAAAGGTGGTACGTTGAATATGTCTCGTATATATCATCAGTTCAGGAAAGGTGGTACGTTGAATATGTCTTGTATATATCATCAGTTCAGGAAAGGTGGTACGTTGAATATGTCTTGTATATATCATCAGTTCAGGAAAGGTGGTACGTTGAATATGTCTTGTATATATCATCAGTTCAGGAAAGTACGTTGGTATGTCTGTATATATATCAGTGCAGGAAAGGTGGTACGTTGAATATATATCATCAGTTCAGGAAAGGTGGTACGTTGAATATGTCTTGTATATATCATCAGTTCAGGAAAGGTGGTACGTTGAATATGTCTTGTATATATCATCAGTTCAGGAAAGGTGGTACGTTGAATATGTCTTGTATATATCATCAGTGCAGGAAAGGTGGTACGTTGAATATGTCTCGTATATATCATCAGTTCAGGAAAGGTGGTACGTTGAATATGTCTTGTATATATCATCAGTTCAGGGAAGGTGGTACGTTGAATATGTCTCGTATATATCGACAGTGCAGGAAAGGTGGTACGTTGAATATGTCTCGTAAATATATCATCAGTGCAAGGAAAGGTGGTACGTTGAATATGTCTTGTATATATCATCAGTGCAGGAAAGTCGCATATCTTATATAAATAATCGTATGTGTCATCACTGGCAAAGGCGGTGCCATGGGTATGTCTTGTATATGATATCACCGCTGTGATGTGAAAGGTGGCACTATATATGGATATATCTTGTGTATATCTCCACTGCAATTATCGGTGGTATCATGTATGTGTTTAACTCAAATTAATAGCCGAGGAAAGGTATATCACGGGCCTATCTTGCATAGATCTTAAGATCCTTAACACATATTTTTCTTTTTATTCAAATAAGACTTCAGCTTGTCCTGTGGGCTGTCCAACAGCCGATACTGGCGAGAAAGGATTTGTGAAGGGAAGCAACGTGAGGTTCACTCAAGAATGAAACGTATAGCATGGCGCTCTCTTCCAGTTGATGACACCTAACGTGCTTCAGGACGGGGAGAAGAAAGAACTAATGGACAGAAAATGATTGAAGAAGAGCTTGGAAGCCACAGAGCATAAGTACCGAGAAGAGTTTGGGTTAAGGATTAGGTTGGCTGTAAGTACCAGGGCGTGGCTTGTGGAGAGTTTGTGGGTGAAGGTAAAAGATAGGTGTGTGTCTGTGGTCATGTCGGTGCCTCGCTGACTGTCTGGGACGAGACTGGTGCAGGATCTGTTTGATCTAGCCAGTAGTAAACAGACGTGTGTACGAGCCTGGTTGCCGGTATCAACACGAGGGAAGTGGAACTTTATCTGTAATTATTACTACCCCGTCCTGATTATCTTTAAATGAAACCTAAACAATTTAAATACATGTCTTCTTTCTTAACAGGAATTCGTGTGCAGGGAAAGTACACCAATCCTCTTTTCTATTTGACTTCGGGTGAAACATGCATAATTGATAATAACTCGTATATTCTAAGCTGATTCCGAACCTCGTCACTCACACAAAACATACCATATGCTGTGTGCTGAGCAGCCCCATCATCACCGACAACAATCTCTTCACTCAATCACTGTATGCCAAATCTACTACACTCTCTCGCCCTCACATATACACCTTGTTACCCT